GGTCCCGCCTTACTGCTGTTGCTAGGTTGATCCGAAGTTAGGTTGAGACTGCAAAGCCAATATGGATGCGGCCGTCGATTGGACTCATTTGCTGCCTATGTAACAGACAGGTCAGGGTTTGTCCAGTAATATTTACAGTCTATGGTGTAGACATGGGCTGCACATGGACTGTGAGCAAACTCACATTTTTTTTAATAGACAATCTCCTAACATTATTTAACATTATTTATGTATTTATGTCACTCCTGAAATGTGATTTTTGAATGCAGCTTATGCTGTTTTTAGGTTTGTCTTTTGAGTGTAATTTGATTGTGATGAGAGGATCTCTGAGCTTGTAATGCAAGACAAATTTTGTGCAAATGGACAGTAAATTGTTATCTTATCTTATTTTATCTTAATTTTTTCCCACGTGTTCCCCTGTTATAACTTACATGTAGGACCTCAAATACACCACAGCTGTCCTTTGGTTGCAGGTTTGAAGAATTAAAGCTTTCTCTGCCTCTGTTTTTTTGGGGGGACTTTGTTAACCGCTTGCAACAAACCTTTTTAAGTTTAGGTCGATGATAAGTCAGATATAGGATGCCTCTAGGATGACACTTTTATTCAAAGCGACGCACATCAGAGAGTAAGTACAACACAAGCAAGGATCTAGAAAAAAGGGGAACAATGTCAGTAATAGCAAACGATCAGCTTTGAGTCTGATTGGACTCACAGGTGCTGACAGGCATTGCACAGAGAGGCAAAGCACAACATTGATGGCAGTTCTTGAGAGCTCTAATCAGTAAGTCATCATTATCAAACAAAAACAATCGTCACAACCATCATCATCATCAATAATATTGAGACCATCATCATTAAGTTAGTAGGTATTCATGAAAGAGCTGGGTCTTTAGCTTTTTCTTAAAGGTGCAGAGGGACTCTGCAGATCGAATGGAGTTTGGAAGTTCGTTCCACCACCGGGGGGCGACAGAGGAGAAGAGTCTAGTCAGAGACTTAGGACCCTGTTGTGAAGGTTGGATCAGACGCCTTTCATTGGCAGAGTGTAGTGGGCGGGAGGGAGTGTAGACCTGGATGAGAGAGTTAAAGTAAGGAGGAGCCGTTTTTGTCGCTGTTTTGTAAGCAAGCAGCAGAGTTTTAAATTTGATGCGAGCAGTAACTCGGAGCCAGTGTAAGGAGATGAACAGCAGAGTGACATGTGCTCTTTTAGGAAGGTTGAAGTGCTGCTGCATTTTGTATCATTTGCAGGGGTTTGATCGTAGATGCAGGAAGACCTGCCAGTAGAGAGTTGCAATAGTCGATGCATGATCTCACAAGAGCCTGTACCAGGAGCTGTGTAGCATGTTCTGACAGGTAAGGTCTGATCTTCCTGATGTTGTACAGGGCAAATTGACATGACTGGACAATCGTGGCTACTTGAACCTTAAAAGTTAGCTGGTCATCAATCATGAAACCCAGGTTCCGGGCAGACTTTGTGGGCATGAGTTTGGTTGTTCCAAGCTGGATATTGATCTGTGGTTGCATAGAGGGACTGGCTGAGATGACAAGGAGCTCAGTCTTTAAAAGACTGAGTTGAAGGTGGCGTTAATTCATCCATTTAGAGATATCAGCAAGGCATGACGAGATTCTTGCAGAGACTGTAACATCCTCTGGCGGGAATGACAGGAACAGCTGGGTATCATCAGCATAGCAGTGGTATGAGAGCGGATTATTGAACCTAGTGAGCTTGTGTACAGTTGCAATCAAAATTATTCAACCCCCATTGCAAATTAGGTTTATTGGCAAAATTTACAAACTTTCAGCTCTTTGCATTGAACAAACCAAACAACAACAATTTTAAGAGCTTTAGACAATTATTATTATTATTGGTTTCTCCATATTCAACACAAAGTGCCACTTTTTAAAGAATACTGTAGTGTCAAAATTATCCAACCCCCTGAACAGAATCCCTCATAAAAGCACACATTTGGAAATTGAGTGTTGTTTCAAGCACACCTGGTGCAACCAATCAAGGGCTCAATTAGTTCCATCAGGTGTGCCTGAAGCACATCAAATACCTGGTCTGACAAGGAGTTTGTTGACAGTGACAATTGGTTGCATGTGAGAAACATGGCTAAATCAAGAGAATTGTCCAAAAAGGTAAGAGAAGAAATCATTGTCTGGCACAGACAAGGAAAAGGATACAAAAAGATAGCAAAGGCACTGAATGTTCCTAGAGATACAGTTGGAAGCATAGTTCGCAAGTTTAAAGCTACAGGAACTGTGGCTACACTACCTGGACGTGGCAGAAAGAGGAAGCTATCAATGGCTGCCATCAGATTCCTGAGAAGGCAAGTGATCAAAAACCCTCGAGTGACTAAAAAAGACCTGCAGCAAGACATGGTGGCAGCAGGCACTGAGGTTTCTGTTTCCACAGTTAGGCGCATACTAAACGCTGAAGGTCTCCATGCCTGAACTCCAAGACGTACACCACTACTGACCCAAAAGCACAAAAAAAGCCGGCTCCGATATGCTAAAAACCATATTAATAAGCCACAGAAGTTTTGGGATTCTATTCTGTGGAGCGATGAAACCAAAGTGGAACTTTTTGGGCCTATGGATCAGCGGTATGTCTGGAAAAGGAAGAATGAAGCATACGCTGAGAAGAACACCCTGCTTACAGTGAAGCATGGCGGGGGCTCTATGATGCTCTGGGGCTGCTTTGCTTCCTCTGGCACTGGCAACCTTCAGCGTGTAGAGGGAAAGATGGATTCAATAAAATATCAGGAAATTCTAGGAGAAAACGTCATGCCATCAGTGAGGAAGTTGAAACTTGGTCGTCGTTGGACCTTCCTACAGGACAATGATCCCAAGCATACCTCAAAGTCCACCAAGGCTTGGTTTCAGAAGAAGTCCTGGAAGATTCTGGAGTGGCCATCACAGTCGCCTGACTTGAACCCCATTGAAAATCTCTGGTGGGACTTGAAGAAGGCAGTTGCAGCACGCAGACCCAAGAATATTAGAGAACTGGAGCAAATCGCGCATGAGGAATGGGCTAAGGTTCCTCAGGAACGCTGCCAAAGGCTGGTGTCTGGCTACGCATCACGTTTGCAGCAGGTCATAACAGCAAAAGGGTGCCCTACGTAGTACTAAAGATGCTTGTCATAAAGGGGTTGAATAATTTTGAGACTGCAGCAGGCATTAAAAGTGGCATTTTGTGTTGAACTTAGAGAAACCACTGATATTATTAGTTGTGTTGAGCTATGTAAATTGTGCTTTTTTGATTTGTTCATTGCAAGCAGCTGAAAGTTTGTAAATTTAGCCAATAAACCTAATTTGCAATGGGGTTGAATAATTTTGATTGCAACTGTATATAGAGAAGAGGGGGAAGGAAGGATTGACCCACCTTTCGTTAGCTTTTAGAGAATTCTAACGGCTCTTATCATGGCCACTTAAATGCTTTTGGGTCATTTCACTCAGTTAGGAATCTTCCTAAGCAAAAATGACAATTCGAACGCACCCATGGACTAGGTTGGGTTTTGCGAGCGGGTTTGGACACCAGAGGGCAGAGCTTGTTCAGAGATGAGGCTAGTGTGGAGCAGAGTATGTCTGTATCCTCGCCTGTAGAGAGTGCTGTAAAGACCTTTTGGGCAGGCATGGCAGCCATTCCTCATTAGACAGCTGAGCTGGCTTGAGCAATCGCATTTTTTGCTGGTATGACACCATTTGTGGGTGTGCCTGAGGGAGTTCCGGCAAGGAGATTGTGAATTGAATAAAGAAGTGGTCTGATAGATGCAGAGGGGTGACAGTCAGGTTTGCTGTCGAGCAGTTCCGAGTCAGAATTAAATCAAGAGTGTTGCCAGCTTTGTGGGTAGGAGGAGTTGGGACCTGCGTGAGGTCAAATCAGGATAGGAGAGCAAGGAAGTCTGTTGACTGGGCTTTATCAGTGTGTATATTCATGTCTCCCATTACAATCAGTGGTGTTCCATCATCAGGGATTTCTGAGAGGAGCATGTCCAGTTCCACAACAAAATCATTCAAAAGTAAATGAAGGGTGGGTAGAAGAGGCTTTCTTAAGCAGAGACAAGTTGTTAAGATTTCGTTGTCTGTGACAGATGTGTCTTTTCCTGTTCCCATGAATGACAGAGATTTCTTTGTAGCACATGTTGCGTTTAGCAGATGACCAGAGAAAATAGGCAAAGCAGTAGTCGTGGATGCCCGGGCTCTGTGGCCACAGCTTCCTAGTTTTCAGATCAGAGCTTGTTCTGCTGGCAGTTTCAGATTCAGACTCTTTTAAGCTTGGATTTTTGTGAAAATCCCACCCCAGATTTTTAGCTTGCAATCAACAGAGGGTGTGACACGCGTCAACTGCCTGTACTGTTGATGCTCAGAATGAAACTTAAGTGCTCACTCCAAACAAAGCCTGACAACGACCCACTATCAATATCTACTCAAAGCAAGTTTCGATTCCCCCACCTAGCTGACAAGACCTTCCTAGTTTTCAGATCAGAGCTTGTTCAACATCCTCTGTCGAGTGATGTTGTTGAATTTTGCGTTTGTGTCTCCTCTTCCAAACCCTCTGTTATCTCTGCACATTGTGTTTACATTTTACATGCTGGACTTGTGGAAATGTGGGTGTATCACTTTGGTGTTGTAAGTCTGTTTACAAAGAAGCATCCCACACAGTTTAAAGGGCAATGTTTCAGAGCTAACCTTCAGTTACTTTTAAAAATGCATCTATTTAGCTGTTTTCACAAACAGAAAGCTCTAATTTAACTCCCACTAATTACAGTTTAAACACTGTGTCCTCTCTGTCTTCTTGGTTACCGTAGCGACTGCATGATTTTCTAGCGGTTTGATTTGACATAAAAACCATGACTTTGGCTTCATATGTACGGTAAATGATTGAATAAAAAGCTTCCCAGAATTGATGAGTGGGCGTGTGTGATGTGGGCGAGAGGTGCATTGATTTTTGGCAGAGTTTATTTAACACAGGCCGTCTCTGGGGCTCATCACAGTCAGCCATGGGTCGTCCTGAGGTTCAGATGTTAACATGGACACTGTTTGTTTACCTGAGTTGGATATGTGTGGATCAAGCAGTGGCAGGGCCGTAAGTTCACTTTCATTGTCTATAAATTGGATCAAATTCACACTTTTGTTTGATTGTTAGCTCAATGTTAAATATTTCGATGCTCAATTTTATGTGTGTAGGCAGTTCATGGTCACCATTCCTGCAGTTATCGGAGCAGGAGCTGAAACGTCGTTCTGTGCGAGCCTCTTGAAGCCCAACGAGACTCTGGTCATGACCGTCACTCTGAGGTCCCTGCAGCAGAATGTGACTCTCATGGAGGAAACATCCAGTCAGGAGTTTCACACCTGCATTAAGTTCATGGTCAGCTTTTGAGATTCTTTTTGCTTAAATTCTCTGTGGAATTTGTGTTATAACTTCTAAAAACACGACTTCATTTGGACACTAAAAATGGAAAATCACAAGACAGGGGTACCAACAAAATAATCAGCTTTCACAACCAATTGAACCCCTGTGAGCAACTTTCTGTTTGTGTTCATTTTGGTGCCCCCTGTAGACAAAGTGGCACCTCTCATACTTTGCTTATCTTGTTCTGAAATCTCCCTGCATTCATCGAACAATTAAATGTTGAATATCTTAGTGGAAAATGTCACAAAAGGATGTTTCTGCAACATGCAGGAAATGATCTGTTCTAACACCGACCCCCCAGCAGTGATTACGGGCTTAATACATGACAAAACAAATGAACTAATATCTGATGTTCTTCTTTGTGTTTGCAGCTCATAAAGAGACATTGATATAAATGTCCATCCGTTTCATGATCAATTAATCGCCCCACTTGAACCAAGCAAAACGTTTTTTTTATCTCCGTTTTGCTTCTAAAACCTATAAAAGCTCATTTTTAAATGTGCTGTTTGAATCAAGAAATTATTTACCAATAAGTGATCTAAAAATATTGAGCTTTCTTGTAAATTCTTCAAGATCATTAAAGTAAATATATGTAAACACAAGCCTGACAGTTAGCATTGGAATTCTACCAAAGTATTTGAGAGAGTTTTCATGTGCAAGTGTTTCTCCAGGTGTCTAACACAAGTAACCTTCTTCCACAGGCTCCTTTAGTGCAAGATGAAGTCCGAATGTTGGAGGTGGAGGTCCGAGGGGCAACGTTTTACTCAAAAGAAGTCAGAAAAGTTATGATCAGAGCCTACCAGCCAAGCACATTCGTCCAAACAGATAAACCGATCTACCTCCCAGGACAAACAGGTGACGCTGATTAATTTATCTATGATGATGTGAACAGAAGATCTCTGTTTGTGTATGAAATAATCAATAACATTTGAGTAGTTTACAATTGGTATTTAAAGGGTCTGAGAATATTTTTAATGATTTATAAATTGATTTGATTGATTGATTGATGGATTGAATAGAATACTCAGATGATGAGGTGTTTTAACTTCATGATATCTTTTCAAATTCCTCAGTGAATTTCAGAGTCGTCTCACTGGACAGCAAATTGAGACCTGTCAATCGCTTGGTAAGTGTTTCAATTCCTGGATTATTAGATTTTATTCATCTAAAGATTGGTACTTGGGCTGATCTGATTATATATTTGAATAGATTTACTGTAACAGTTAAATATGTGTTGTTTTGTTCAACCATTGTAAAAGTTGTTCCTGAAACTCACTAGAAAGCCAACTCTGTGATTATGATAAGAAGCCTCTTAAAAAGTAGTTTTTTTATACAATAAAAACTGAAAATAATTAAACAGACTGATTTTCTATGGAAAGTGAAATGTAACTAAGATTCATAAAGACACTGACAACAATGAAAAGAATATAATTCAAAATGCCCTCTAATGCATCTCTCTATTTTTATTTTTTTCACAGTACACCGTCATTGAAATTGAGGTAAGACAATATCGACATGCCTTTTTTAATGTTGCTGAATCAGGACCTGTTTCACAAAAGGATTACATGACTTTTGCAGATGCTAAACCTGTGCAAATGTGTCAAAAAGACAATGTCTAATTCACAAATCATGCAAAGTGTTCACTGCACCCCTGACTGCACTGCAGAGCAAACAGCGTCTCTACGCGGTGGTGTTTTTTGTGTGTATTAAAATGAGCTTTTATGCTGTCATTTGAGAAAGAAGTTGGCCCCATTTCATGCAAATCGACGTTATTGCAAAAAGCATCTAATTCCCAAACACAGGTGCTAACAGCCACACGTTTTTAGGGAAGTAAAAAGCGCCTGTTGAGACTTGGTGGTAACTGCGTTGCAGTATTTATAAGAGATGTCAGTCGTAAACTTTCCAGCCATCAGAAAAACAATTCCCCCCTCTGTCTGTTATAAAAATGAATGGATTGTAAATTAATTCTGTACATGGGACGTTGACCTTACTTTTATATAAACAGATGTTAAAACTGTCCATAGCTGTCAGCGTCTCCGCACTTCATCCACATGTGTAGAGACGCTCTGGAGCTGTTAGGCACAAGGAAGCATGTGTTTTATTCTTTGAGTTAACCATTCTTGCTTTTTTCAGGGAGGAAGTTTTGTTTGAAAAAGTGAAAGCCATTTTACATTTTTTTACTTTTATGCTAAATGCATTGCCCACTGTTGTCTAACATTTAGAGAAGGATCAACATGAATCAGGGTGGTCTGGGCTTTATTCTGTTTTGAAGACATGTTTTCTCTGTATTTTAATTCCCCACTTTTGTCATGACTACAGGATTCAGCCAGCAACAGGGTTGGACAGTGGTTACAAAAAGAATCCAACGGGACAATATTGCAGCTTTCATACTCCTTGAACTCTGAGGCCCGCGAAGGAACCTACAATGTCATTGTGTCGATTGGTGATGAGAAGATTTTTCATAACTTTAAGGTGGAGAAATATGGTGAGTTATTGTTTGTTTTAATACCTTCTATTTCAATACATTTGTATTGTAGCAATAATAAAAATGAGGTTTTGTCTGCAGTTTTGCCAAGATTTGAGGTAAAAGTAGAAGCACCTGGTGAAGTTAGTATTGGGCATGAAGACATCAAAGTTGAAGTTTGTGCAAAGTAAGTCATGCTTTTTTCATTCGTTCACTCTTAAACAAACTAACATAGTTACAGTTTGGTGAGAAAATGTCTCTATTCAAACAGCACGCGTTTTATTTGTCTATCTATGTAGGTATACATACGGGCAGCCTGTACCAGGAAATGTTAAAATTGAGATGCACCGACCTCTCAGTCGCTATTATACAAGGAACTATGTAGCTACCACTGATAATTCAGATGGCGTCCCTGAGATAACTGCCCCATCTTACATGGAGATAAAACAGGTAGAGTCTGCTGGAACCTTACAAAGCTTGTGCACTATTTCACATACAACATACTGTTTACATCAAAAAACAGAAGAGAATATATAAAGTCACCTGTGTTATCATTCCAAAACAATAACTGAAGATTGTTTTACACCATGGAAACCAGCTTGAACCCAGCTTCAACTCGTTGGGGATTGAACCTAAATGTACTTTATTTGATTTTAATTTATTATCTTTGATTAAACTCTTTAGGCAGATGAGGCCGGCTGCGCAACTTTTCTCATCATGATGTCAACTTTCACAAAACTTGACCAAAAAGTGCTGCGAGATTCACTGCATCTCAAGGCCAGCGTGGAGGAGGAGGGAACAGGCAAGTGTCAATCTTGGATATAAATTTGAGAATGACAGTTAATCCCTCAAGAAAATCGAATGTATTTATTGTTTACATCTTTAAGAGCTTTAACACTGAGGCTTCTTGAACAGGAATTGCACATGATAGTCAGAAGAGACTCGATATATCCTACGTTATCGGAAAGGTTTTCTTCATGGACACACCCAAGATTTACAACAAAGGATCAGATGTGGAGGGAAAAGTAAGTGCACGCTCACCACTTATGCATCAGATCCTGTACACAGTCCAACCTTGTATTCTTAGTCGTACACCTTTGTGCTTTTAACAGGTCAAAGCTGTTACTTACGACAACACGCCCATTCCTGACATGAAGGTGCACCTGTTTGAGGGAGAGAGGTGGTCATCCCGTCTGCTGCAGAATCTCACAACTGACAGTGAGGGTGTCGCAGCTTTCACGATAAGCACAGCTGAGTTTAAACAAGACATCCGGCTTGTCGTAAGTACGATGTGAAACTGCACTAAAAACTAAGACAACATCAAAACACACAAAAAGGCCAAGACCTAAATTATCAATATGCTTCTACTGATCCTCTCAGATCATCTGTACAAATATCTGCATATGACTGGATTTTGGAGTCTTATGAAGAGAAATGCACTGCTTTCTGTTTTGTTGAGACTAAAGCCTGGTACACACTACACGATTTTTTAAATCTTAAACGATTTTGAAAACGTGAGAGACCCCACACATGACAACAATCCTGACTGATTAACAGTTCAGATCGCACAGTGTGTGGTGTGCCGAGTGTACCGATTCATTCGCTGACAACCAGAGTCTCGACTATCACAAAGTGTAATCTTGCGCAGTCAGTCGCGGTTTAAGAGAAAACAAACATGACGGGCAAACTAAATGTGGCTAGCTGTTAGCTGGTACATCCATTACGGTAAACATTTTGGTCAAAGTGGTTTGTTTTACAGGACACGTTTTATATAACTCAATAATAATAATAATAATAATAATAATAATAATTCATGACATCCATTTAACTTTATGCTTCGCGATTGCTGTTGTCGCCATGGTAATGTTTGTTGTGCTTCCTGCTTCAGTCAGTGTGCTTCCCTATTGGCTATTGTTCCGTTCCACGTGACAATTCACAGAGACCGTGCTTGGCCGTCTACACCACAGGATTTCTGATCGTAAATGTTGAACACGTTTAATATTTACGATTTTAAATCAGGGCGGCACCGATCGTCTTCCTAGCAGATCGGAGAGGTTAAAATCAATCTTAACACACCTCACACCACAGGAGAATCTGACCAGATAATCTTTGGAACATCAGATAGTCAGGCCTTTGCTGACTTTGGTCGGAAGGAGGGAATCAGGCCCAAAATCGGCCCGATTATCTTGCAGTGTGAATCCCGCTTTAGTTGAGTTGACCAATCGTGTTGAATGGGATTTGGTTTCTTTGCAGGGAAACAGTCCTTGTCGAGAACAGAATATGTGATATACAGATTTCGTCTTCCATCAGTTATAATGATCAACAGTTACGCCTTTTAGGGATCTGTATCAACATGTATCTACAAACACAAAAACAAAACATACAGACATAAAATCTGATGATTGACATCACTACCCATATACTCCCATGTCGGGATAGTAATAATAAGTTACACAGAGGGTTCTGAAGTTGTATACTGAGTTGACTACCAAGTTGTTTTATACTATGCAGTATATTACTCCATCATAGTTTACCCTGGTTTACTTCAGCGGCATAAACCTGAACAAGATACTGTGTTACTTGCAATAAACAGGTTTAAAGTTCAAACCCGAAAATAACATGATGCAGTGTGCAATTTTCCAGAGGAGGGGGGGATGGAATTCAAATTGAAATTATTCTCTCTTTGTTGAATTTGGTTTAAGGTCAACAGACGTAGGCTCATTTCTGAACTTCACTCCACAATCTAGGTAAGCAGCAAACCCTCAGTGAGGTACGACGGGCATCGATCTCCTTACTACCAAACCGGAGAGCACACACTGACCTTGGTCAAACCTTTTGCTCCAGAAACTAAAACAATCAGCTCCCTGGAGGTGCAGAAGAAGGATCAACCACTGGCCTGTGACACAGAAGAAGAAATCTTTATCCGTTTCGTTGTAGTTGGGGAAGCCCAGGGCTCTGCGGATGTGATGTATCTGGTAGGTGAACTGTTTCTAAGTATATTCATATCTTATATCAGTTTGTAATCTGCTGTAATGAGAATGAGGTGTCACTGTGAGAGAGTATTACTTATTGTATGTGTCTTTTAAACTCCACAGGTCTTATCCCGAGGAGTCATTGTATGGCAAGGATTCAAACAGGTTGAAGTCCAAGATAAATCAGGTATTAAAATATTGGCTTTTTTATTCATGAATCAGGAACTTTCTTGCCACGAGGGCCCAGAATGTAAATGTTTGTCTAACCTCTCAGGTTAAATATTTCTTCACTAGAGAGAGGGAGGCAGAATTGCATATCTTTTTGCGTAACCCAGAGGTTGTTCACTCAACAAACACAAACTGAACTTTGTTTTAAAGCCACTGGAAACCTAAATCCATAAAAGTCTTCTTACTTTGTAATACAGGGTCTCCTGTATATAAGAGGGGGCATCTAAAAGTATCAAAATTCCAAGCACTGTCATTAAGATTTTTGTTAACTTTTACTGTAGTGGATTTGGTGTGGTTATATTTGAATATTTATTATGAAATGTTAAACAATAAATTCAAATTCATCCGGTGATTCCCAAAATATGGACTGGGAGGCTAAGGTCAGGCCCGGAGTTATGATAGGGGGACCTGGCAACGCTTAAAGGCAGTGTTGTTAATTTTCGCAAACTAGCATGATTTTGAGAGTAGCATTCCCTCTGTGTTCCGTCTGCACCCATCCCCTCCCCTCTATGCTCCCTCAAAAGCCACGCCCCTCACTTACATGCGCAAGCGCCATTTGTCAAGAAGCAGACCTCAGCTCATGCTTTGAGTGTGGGCTTGTTCAAGCATGGGTGGAGAACGAGCAGGGAGACAGGGAGGCGTGTGATTGGTTCATCAGATTGGTACCTCGTGTAGACATTGGTCAAAGTTTTTATAGGCTTACAACTGATACAGATGACGGATTTTCTTTGTTCCTTTTTCAGAGCACATGAGTTATTAATTTCTGTCAGGACCCAAAGACAAGTTCAACCAAAATATTAAAAAGTGTATTGAGAGAAAATGATCAACCTTACCTTTAACCTAAACAATGCATATTGTTTTTTCAACCAGCAAAGCATGGGAAATATTTGAAGACTTTCAGCAAAGATTCAATCACCTTCCAAACCAGACGTCACAAATGTAGGAGTTTCAGTTTAGTCGCTTGCTACTGTTTTTAGTTTTTCACACACTGAACTGCTATTCTGAACTTTTTGCAGCAAAATATAGGATTTGTTTTCAAAGCAGTAAAAGTGGATACATCTTGATGTGTTAGATGAAGGGTGGGGGCACATTTTCATCTTCCCTGAAAAAAAGTTCCAGAACCACTGAATTAATCAATCATACGAAGTGTGATATCACATTCAGCCAGCCTGATGAAGCCACAGGCGAAACGCGTTGTTCGATCACAATAAAATGCAGTTATTTTCAGTGTGCCACGGAGTTTTGATTTATTTTTCATGGTTTGTTCCTTCAAGTTGCAACTTTGCGCACCTGAGAACATATCGGTTGTGCACGGGGAACCTGTTGACCATTTAGATAATTCTGTCTATTAAAAGCCTGTTTCACTTTTTCAGTGACTGAGGGCGAGATGTCCTTTAAGTTCAGAGTGTCTCCTGAGATGTCCCCAGACGTCCAGGTTGTGGCTTACGCTGTCCTCCCCAGTGAGACGGTGATCGCCCACAGTTCTGACTTCTCCACTGAGAAATGCTTCAGTCACAAGGTCAGTGTTGACATCTCCCAGATTTGTTGGTTTTGAAAATAGTTATTGTTGTCCCATTGACAACATCAGTTTTTCCTTGTGTCAGGTGTCGCTGGAGTTTTCTCCGTCCTCAGCTGTCCCAGGAGAAGAAAACACCCTAAAGTTGACAGCCCAGCCGGACTCTCTGTGTGGTGTGAGCGCTATCGACCAGAGCGTCCTC